ATTTTCAGAAATATCATAGGAACGTGAGTTTTCTTTACTTCCTACAATCCTGTACGAGAAAGGATAGTAAGGGGTGGGAGGGTGGTGCGGGTGTCCAGGTGAATTTCCTGTACTCCAACTGATGAAACGGGGACTGTGAAAAAACATTCTCTTTCTTCCTCTCTTTTTTCTTCCTCACACTCATGCGATATGCACGTAATTTTGTTCTCCTTTTCTTTTTACTCTTCTTTTTCTATTGCTTTATTTTTTGTTTTCTAAATTGTGGCAAAATACACATAACATAAAATTTTCCATATTAGCCGTATGTAAGTGTATAGTTCTGTAGCGTTAAGTACATCCGCATTGTTGTATCTTCCTTCTTTTTTAAGCAAAACAGAATGCACAGCTCTTAATAACCCAAGACATGGACATCTTCAGCGAAACAGGTCTTTATTTCAAGGTGGTTCCTGCTCCTTTTCTATTGCTTAAAGAAAAAGAGAACTGGAAAGTTTTCCCCTGATCTCTGTCATTTTTAGTAACTCTAGAATCCCCTATGAAATACATGAAGCTAACAATAATCTTCAAAACCAGAGTCATATGTTGTAGCAAGTACTTCACTTGAAGAGGAAACCAATCCACGTTCTACAAACAGGGGTTCAATACATCGAGTCGAGTATGGAGGCATATTGAAAGATTTCCTTCTGTTTGGGGAAATTCCCAGAAATCTTGAAAAATTGCCTTGGTGTAATTCCAAATTGAGGATATCATGATGGGACGCTCTGATTAAGTTGCTCATCACTCTATCTTGATCCCTTATTTGAATTGGGGTGATTTTAAGAAAGTTCATCATCTTGTTGCCCTGTGAAAATAAATATTAAAAAAAAAAAAAAAAAAAAAAAACTCTTACCAAACAATTCACAAATGCACACTAGAAAGGGCTCTGTTTTCAGAGCTGCTGTAAATATACTGATGTTCTTTTATTTGGGGCATCGTGCCTCAGGTGAAATAGCTTCTGCAAAGAGCCACTCTGTGGAATATTCCTCTTGGGTTAAGGCAGTGCTGCTAACCAGTCATCAAGCAATTTGAAAATGGTCCTTGTGACACTGACATTGGCCACACAGGGCTCTGGATCACACGAGGTGAGGCATCCGTCAAGGCTGCTGATGAGCAGGCAACCAGCACACTCCAGGGATCTGCGTGGCAAATGGAATGTTCTGAGCTCTCTCCTAAAGCAAGATTCCTAACAATAAAACATTGGAGGGTGTGCAAGAAATGGAAACATTAAATATTTTCTGGGGTTTTACTTAATTGAATCGATGTTACCTGCAGTAGACATTGCTATTGTGTGTTCATTTTGAAGTCGTTACCCAGGACATATATAAAATGTCTCCTATATAGGGTGTGTTCAGATTTAGCAAACAAAAATACAGAATTCCCAATTAAATTGAACTTCAGATAGACAACAGATAATTTTTAATATGAGTATGTCCTATGCAATATATGTCTCAGGCAGTGTACAGGACAGACTTACACTAAAATATTATTCCTTGTTTATCTGAAACTCAAGTTTAACTGGGCGTAGTATATTTTATCTGGCAACTATATTCCTATAGTCTATTAAAAATTGAATTTAGTTGACATCTAGAATTTAACTTAAATTTCAGCATGAGGTCAGTGTTGTCTTCTCGCCTCTTCCATTTTCAAATACTGGAATTTCTTGTCTGAGCTTTTTGCACTGTGAATCTGTTTCTCTGCTCATCTCACTGTGCTTTTAGGTGCAGAATAAAAAATATATTTTAGTTTTATTTCTTCTTCTAAAGAAGACAGATTTTTAGAGGTCTAATTCAGTCATGTGCTTTACATTAAATGTATCTAAATGTGCTTATTAGCTGCATCTAAATTTTCCCATTGATTCCCTTATCTTACGTTTCTTTTTATGTCCCTACTCATGTTTCAGTTGGCTTATAGCTGTACCTTGAGGTCTTTCACTTTTGTTGTCTTAGAGTCAACATTAAATAAATATGTTTGTATGTGCACATACACACAGACACACACCAATAAATGTTCAGTATGGAAAACATGCGTTGAGTCGTTATAGAGAAATTTTAATCCCACAAGGGAATTAGAACATACCACTTTCTATAAAAGTAGGGAAAATAAGGACCAGAAACAAGCTAAAACATAAAAGAACTGTTACTATTACTTTAAAGAAAAAGCTCTTTTCCTATGAACTTGGTTTCATAAAGAGGCCTGTCAGCTCTGAAAGGCTGAAGACAGAGTTACATACAGCCCTGTTCCTGTTTCCTGAGAAGTCGGTGGCGGGGAACCCAAAAGCAATAGTCTCAGTGAAGCCAGCCTACCTGGCTCTGTGACCCACCTCAGACCAGAATGATTTCAGAAAAGGAAGCATGGCAGAAATAAGGATTGAAAAGTTTTCATTTTGTTTTTGGTATTTTTAAAAAATGTTAATTGGAATAGACTAGCTTTCCTAGAGGGGCTGTTTCTATAAGAAATTGTCATGCATTTACGATATATAATAATTTTATCCACACTATTGTAGTATTTCTGTAGCTCTTCCAATGAAGTTAAGCAGAAAATTGGAGCTTAATCGCATAGAAAACCTGACCTTCTGACTCAATCGTGCCAAATTGAGGATATCCAAAATAGATGTTTTCTATTCATCTTAATTTAAATGTTGGTAGCATGATTAATAATTTGCCAAAGGAACACAAAGGGTAACATAAGTTACTTATTTTTAAGGAAATCTGCTCTGATACTATTTCTTACTACCTAACATGACTTACTCTGTAGCAAGGAGCTTCTGTTTGACAATGACTCAGAAAGGGCAACAGTTGCTTCAAAGACTGAAGCCCCCGCAGCACAATTCAGCATTAGAAATATTCCTGAAGCTGCCACAATGAGAGACTAAAGAAGTCCTGGGTCGTGCCAATGGTTTGAGGTCAGACAATGAAACAGCCTTAAAAGAACGGGAAGCCACAGTGCCCCTGATGAAAGGTGGTCAAATTAACAACCCCTGTCTCTTTGTCTGATCTTGACCAATATCCTCCTAGGCCATTTTAGTTCTGGCACCATCACTGCTGACAGGTCAGGTGGTTATACATTTTTTCCATAGGAGGAATAATTATCTTTTAAGATAGTGTCCCTTGTGGAGAGGAGAACTCCATAACAGAGGAACCATTTTCAATACATCTGTTTCAAAGTCTAAGAATCTCCCAGAGTTGAATAAATATAAGAAGGCAAATATTCAAAATCTGTTCCAGCGCTCCAGAAGAAAGTGACAACACACAGAAAGCAGAGGAAATAATTGAATGTTTTGACATTGTGAGAATGTATAAATGACATCTTTTCTCAAAAGAACTGTTGCTAGCAATTCCATAAAACAGCAAATAAATTTTATCGTTCACTGAAAAGAACAGTTAATTGACCAAAAGGTTTCAAATTTTTTCACTTTATAATTAGTGGTCAAATTGTTTTCGTTGGCATTTTACAGAATGAGTCAAGGAGATAAATGTTTCTGTTTATCTGTAATTTTTACTCGCAGCTATTTCTAAAAAGGATGTGATTAAATCCTTATGTTTAAATTATAATCAAACCACACATTGAAGAGAATTGTTTTCATCAGTTGAAAAGAAAGATGAGAATGTACAGAGTATGTGAGAAAGTAGGCTTGTTCTACCGATCTACTTCGGTAAAATGGTTCTGACACTTGAGCATGAAATTAAACTCTAGGTTCCAGGGAGAGCTCAGAAATGTGGTGGATTATATGCGTTCACTCTTTACATACAATGAAGCATCAGTTCTTTACAGCTGTGTGTTGAGGTGCGATTAGTACTTATGCCGTTCCTGGGTTGGATTGCATAATCATCTAGCTAACTGTGAGTCCAGATTTCTGTAGATCTTTCCTATAAATGGGTTATGGTTTTCAACTATCCCCATTTTGTACAAATCCCAGTTTTGAAGGTGGTAAACGTGGTATGTGGCATATTTTCACTATTTCTTTTTTTGTTGGACATTTTATCAGATACCGCCTAACACTGAGTAAAATCATTGAAAAAAAGAAGATATAATATGAAAAGAAAGTAATTTTGTTCTGAATGCTAGCTGATGTTTTGATTTGCTAGGGTTGGTATATGGCAGCCCCTCTTTCATTATTTTTAAGCTTGTTTTTTTAACTGATTCTATATGATAAAATAATAATAAAGGAAAAAATATAAGGGAGTTAATCTATCCTTTTAATTACCTTAATGGTCATTTGGATCCCAACAGAGTCAATCCATCGTACCATTTTTGGTCATTGAATGGGCTCAATAAGTTGAAAAAAGCATGAGTTTGATGATATATGATTCATTCAATTAACAAATCTTTTGAGTTCCTTTTTCATGCAAAACGTTATGCAAACCCTAGGGTAGAAGGATAATAAAGTAGATATCTGCTCTAGAGAAGATCTCAGTGGGAGAGCAGTCCCATGAAAAGTTATCCTAGAATCTTATTCATAAAATAAGTATATACATTATTTTTTAATTAGAACTAATGAGGGCTTATTGATTGATTTTTAACCACATAAAGCAAGTACATAAAGCAGAATTATTTCTTATACTAAGTACAGGTGTTTGCCTTTAAAAATCTAAATTTCTATCTATATTCTCTCTCTCGCTCTCATTCTCCAGCTACGGCTGTGAGACAGAAATCCCTAAAGATGACTCAATCTTAGATCTTGTAATGTGGCTGACTATTTGCAATGTAGTTACGCATCTTCTCTGAGCTTCAGAATTCTCAGCTGTCAAATAAGAAACTGCTCTTAGAATCATTAATATTTATAATCCCAATGAAGTTCTTTGGGATCTTTGAAGAAAGCTACACAGCCAGGCAGAATTTATTGTTGCTCTTATTGTTTGCTGTTAACTAATTTAAAGTAACTTGCAATTATGTTAATATCATGCCACCCGTAAGTGACAGTGGGGTATATTTTCAGAGTTCAAATATTGTTTTCTTTATTACAGGTTTCTTTTCTCCATGGAAAACTCCAAAGCCTGTAAGTTGGAATTATTATGTTTCTTTCTTTATTTCTAGTTATTATTGCAGTCCCATTAAGTAATGGTTGAGTTGAGTGGCCTCAAAATCTCTTCCTCTCTGATGTCAAAAGAACAAGTCCTCTGTGTCCCTTTGTCTCATATTTGTCCTACAAATAGAAGAATAATTCATCTTACTTTCTTATAAAGACTATTCTGCCTGTTTTTTAATGTTCCTACAAAATGAGCATTAACACTATTCAGTATGGCATACTGAAAATACTCTAGAAAACTTTGTTTTCCCCCTGTTAGAAATACTATAGGTTTTATAACCTGGAAGTTTTAGAAACAATGCAAATTATGAGTCCAGAGGTCTTGACCAGCAAATTAAATCTGTTCCACCAGAAATTTAGCTCTATATATGTTTGTATATTTATATTTACATTTTAATACATACAGAACTAAATATATATGTGTGTACGTATGTCTGTGTGTGTGAAAATTTATATATTTTTTCCGCCAAATCTGACAGTCCCTCAAAGGGTGCTCCTGAATCTTCACGTGCTGGTGATCTCTACCATCACCTGACCTCTCTGGGCCTACTTCCTGTATGAAGCATCCTGAAATGTTGATGCTGGTGTAGGAGGCTGGTGGATTTTAATAATCTCTTTGTGAGGCTAGGTTAGTCAAGTTGGCTTCACAGTCAGAGATGGTCTTCACCTGTCTCTAAATGGCCATCTATCTTGCCATTAGATTGAAACTAGTAATTGCCCAAGTCCCAGGAGCTGGGACTGGTCTTCTGGGATCCCATTTTATGGTATGTGGGAATTGTCTGCTCTAACTGGAATATATAAAACCCACGATGGGAAGAGCACAATAGCAAGGTGGTTCAAGTCAAAAAGAACTCAAGAGAATCGCATCTTCCACCTACTTCTTTTCTTTCCTCTCACAGTCAGCAGTTCAGATGAAAGTGGCCCCTAGTCTGGCCAGTGAGTGGGAAATTCTTGGGTTAATTGTATGCTTCTCTGATTTCTTTTGCTGATTGGTTTTCTCATTTTAGAAATGGAGATAATATAATTTTTCCTACTTTTCAAGCGCAATAACTGGCTTAATTAAATAACATGCCTTGAAAATGGTTTGAAGACATGTGAAAATAGAATATTATTGAGACCCATAATTTTCCTGAGCTACAGCTTTCTCTCAAAGAGAGATGAGGAAGCCAGGAGCTGAGGATGAGGGACTGGTGCTGTCGGCCTGCAAAACATTCTCCCCAAGCATGTCCTTGTTTAGGATTTGGCTCCTCTGGTCCACAGAGAATATCAAATGGGAAAACCAGTCCTATCTGGGCTTGGTAAACCACTTAGTGACGCATGTGATTTTCAAAAGAGGTATTTAAAAATGTTTAAAATGAAATTTGTTTTATCTTGACCAAGATCTAAATGATTCCTTCTTTTCACCATCAAAGTTAAATCTGTGCTCTGTGATTACACACGTCTTTATCTGATTTAACAAGAAACCTTGCAACCTCATCATGGTGCTTACAATTATGCAATCTAGTGATTTCCTTATATGTACCACATTTACACAAATTATGCCGTTTGGCATAATTACAGCATTTTCTGTCATTATAGTAATTACATCCATAGTTAATAATTCCAAAAAAGATTTTACAGAACTCAATTTACAATTAATCCTAACCCATACATCCCTGCCGAAGCTAAGGCTTGGACTTCCAGGTCCTGGACTGAGTGGAGATAGAGGACTGTAGACTTAGTGTCTTCCATGTATCTATCAGAAGCTCATTAGACTGAGAACTCTAATGAGAGGGAGAAGAGTATATGGTTTATTTTTAGGGTGCCGGCTCTGAAAACATACTGCCCGCGTTCAAATTTTGCTTCTTCTCCTTACTGGCTATGTGGCCTTCAACTAGCTACTTAGCCTGTCACTATCTCAAGTTCTACATCTGTAAAATGGAGACAATAATGATACCCCTCTCATATTGTTCTTGTGAAGAATCTATGAGTTAATCCATGTAAGCTGCTTAAAACAGTGACTCTATATGTTCAGCTCAAAAATATAACCTACTGTCATCCTATAAAGCAAACCCTCCATGCATACACCTTGAATAAATTAATTAGTCTATAAAATGAGCGTGGTTCGCTAAACTATTCACTTAAACAAATATGTAAGTCTATACCCACAGTTTATGGATTTATAAACTCCTCTGAGGAGGGTTGATGACATCCTTAGGCAGGATAAGGAAATGTTATCTTGAGTGAGATCTCCCCTCCTCCCTAACCTACTGATCCATAGCTGAAGCTAATCCACCACAAAATTGTCGCTTCCTGTTCAACAAGTAATATACTAACTGTAGTGAGCTCTCACTCTCTCCTTCTGGAAGGGATCCAAGTTCATCTTGAAGTACAGAATCAAGCCGGATGCCTTCACCCCCAAGTCCTGCCGTAAAATAGTGAGGGCATGTGTTCAGACCACCTCAGCTTCTCTAGGAAGCAAATGATTTCTAGATAGAGTATTTCATGGGTGGATAGGGGGAGGGAGGGAAAACCTGCCTTGTGCGCAAGCCCTCTGCTCCCACTGTGCACTCCAGAATCAGAAGGTGGGGTTAAAACAATTAACCACACCCTGGGTGGGTTTTTCTGTTGTGGACTGTATGTCCACTCTGTCCGCTGATGTTTCAGCGACTGTCCTTTCATACAGTCAGGCGTTCATTCATTCACCAAGCCTAGAAGAGGTGCCAGGCTTCTCCCAGATATAGAAAACAACTTCACTTGATTTTTCCTTACTCTAGTGTGATATTAGTAAATATTGGCCTAGGTATGGACACCACTGGGCTGGACAAGACCCAATCGGAAGCCCCGTGAGAGGTAAACACCTTGCAGGTAGCAGAACTCTAGACAGGTCAAGGCCAGGAGGACAGTGGGTAGAGCAAGTGAGGTGTATGGACCTGGGCAGGGGACAGGATCAGAATCTGGGAGGTTCACGAAGGTTGAGAGGAACAAGTGAGCACAGAGTGTCCCAGCTAGAAAGCAAAGTCCAAAGACCAGGTTGTCTAAGAAAGTAAGGAGAGGTCAACAGAGAGCGCCTTTCAAAGGTGCTGTCAGATCAGCACACAGCCCCAGGGAGCAGGGGGTGACTCCACTCCCAGGGCAGATGGTTTTCTCCATGGTCTTCTGGGTGGGGATGAACGAACAACTCAGTTTGGGGGGTGGGGAGGCGTAGGACTGTGGGTCTGCTCTTTCAGTCACCTCTTGGGCGCAGTGATTTTCTGCTCTACGGTCTTTTAAGAAAGCCTGACAGAGTGACTCGAGGGTTGATGAATGTCAAAGCAAGACATGAATGCTTTACTAAGCATGAACTGGAGTCTTGACTAATTCCCCCATCTCTGTGCTACAGAAGTTGTAGAATTTGTCAATCTGCCACAGGAACTTTCCCAAACAGTGCCCAAAGCATTATTTGTTCTGTATTTTAAGTGTGTTTTTTAGAAATACTAATATGTCAGCTGAAGCATGTTGCTCCACTGACTGTAGAGAACCACAGAGATACCAGCAAGACTTCTGTGGGTATCACATAAGCTCACTGGGAGACAGGAGGGAGAAATAGACATCTGCTGAAGCCCTATGATGACAAGTGGGATACTGTAGCCACTCAGACCGTATTTCTAGTTTATTTACTTTTTAGAATTGAGTATCTTATGTTTAGAAACAGAAGGGAGACAGTCACAGCCAGAATGCATCTACATAGTACCTCAAGTCAGTTAAAGTGAAAAATAAAAAAGAATATGACTTTAGCCACAAATGTGAGTCTTTCCATCATCACAAAGATACATGAGAATGGAGGGCTAGAGGAACCCAGCATGGGTTCCCAGATGAGTTTTGCTATCAAATAAATTACGAAGTGTATATTTAAGGATTTTTACTAAATGGAAGCAAAAGGCTCACTGAGCAGAAAATTAGCCCAACCTCCAAGCAAATCAGCCAGTTACTCTCCTCAATGTATTATTATGTAAAAAAGCACTCCCACTATAGTTCTAGATTAGTTCTGACCCAGGGTGTGCTGCTGGAGCTCTCTGCACTCGTAGAGATTATGTTTAGTATTAGGGAACCTCAACTAGGGGTTGTCCATCCTTGAACATTTGTTCAAATGAAACCTTGGTCAGTAGCCATATAAAAAACAAATTAAAATGAAGCCAATTGTCTTGGTCCCTTCAGACTGCTGTAACAAAATACCATAGACTGGGTGAATTAGAAACAACAGAATTTCGTTTCTCACAGTATTGGAGACTGGGAAGTCCAAGATCAAGGCACGGGCAGATTCAGTGTCTGATGAGAGCCCACATCCTAGATGACCATGTTTTCTCTGTAACCTCACCCAGCAGAAGGGACTAGGGAGCTCTCCAGGGTTTCTTTCATAAGGACACTGATCCCATTCATGAGGGCTCCATGCTTATGACCTAATCACCTCCCAGGGGCCCACCTCCTAGGACCATCACCGTGGGTGTTAGAATTTCAGCATATCAGTTTGGGGGGTACTAAGACATTCAGACCATAGTACCAATCTTACTGAGAGAAGGGTCAGGGACCCATTTCTTTCCTATTTGCTGGCTTACCCATCCCTGCCACAGTCCCAGGGAGGTGAGCAGGTCATGGTGAACTTGATGTTACACCACAACATGCACGGTACCTGGTACCTCTCATCCCCCCAGCTTTAAAATATTTATGATTGACAGGTCAGAGCTGCTGTTGAAGCCCTGACCAAAATATAACCAGTGTGAAAACAGAAGCAGGACAGTGCAGCAGGGGACAGAAAGGGATAATCCTGCCAAAATGGTGTGTATCAAAACTAGTTTAAAAAAAAGAACAGTTATGAGTCAGCCAGATTTAAAAATAAGGAACAGGTGACCATATTTTATTGATGATTTCATTCATTCACTAAGTTGACATTTTCTGAGCGCTTAGTATGTGTTGGTAATGCAACAATGAGAAAGACTGTGTCCCCTGCAGGCTGTGTCCCAGACATGGTCTGGGTGTGGTGTGAGGGGTGGGCAGCAGGTGCTGTGCGACCAGACCAGGAATGGTCAGTAAAGGCCTTCTAGAAGGGACGTCTCATCTGAATCTAGAAGCCAGGTACAATGAGGAAGGGAGATGGAAGAGAAGAAAATGGGCACGCTTTGCAAGTAAAAGGAGAAATTAAGAAAGTATGCAAATGTTCAGAGGTAGGAGAGAACCTGAAGGGTCCTCGGGGATGAGAGGAGACGCCATCAGAGGCTGTGAGAAAGGTCAGCGGAAACTGGGCAGTGAGGAGCTGAGAAGGCCCTGCCAGGGGGTTTGGCCCTTATCCTGAGGACTATGCTCAATTTTGGCAGGAGGGTAACCTCATCTAATTTTACACAAAATGGGTTTATTCAAAGCAGGAAAGTAGATGTTGAGTTTGATTAAGGAATCAATTGGTTGATTGTTGAGTGGAGGTGAAGTTGATGGTAGAAATAGGCCATCCCGGGGAACCTGGCTTTCTCCTTGAAGGAAGGACATTAGTCTCTGCTTTATCTCCCTCTCGATGCAATGGGGAGGACTAAAGAAGAGGATGTGTGTGACAGAGCACCGTAGGCTGGGACATGTTCTATAGATCTTCAGTAAATTATGGCGGCAGCAGCGGCAGCATTTTAGGGAAGAAATTGCCAGATTAGCAGTAAATGAGGCTTCACAGAAGACTCTGAACAATTCATAAATCCCAGATGGTTGTATCCTTCCTTATAAGCTATAAGGAGAATGACTGAATGTTCCAGTACAGGGATATGTGTGGGTGTCAAATGCACGCCTGCAGACTTCTTCCGGTTTAGTCAAAATGGTGTAATGTATTAGGGCCATCTTGGAAAAGGAATAATATCATTCCATTCTACACGCTTACACATCAATTATCTTGAGATACATGTTATCTTTATTTCAGAGGAAAAGAAAACCAGATTCAGAGAGATTAAGTGATTTGCTGAAGATTTTCAGCTTCTAGGTGACAAGGTTAAATAAGCTGGTATTCAAGTATCAGCCGCCACTTGTATTTACAATCGTCTATCGTATAGACGTCTATTGTATAGAAATAGAATCTTTTGTATAGAAATAGAATCTTTTCTCTCAAGGCACATATACCAAAGTTTTAAATGTTTCGTGGAAGAAAAGTCTGCAGGGCAAGAAAGTCTAACTTGAGGTGAGGGCTGTGGTCTGTGAGTGACAAGGGAAATCACAAAATGGAATTCATCGTCAGTCGTTTTCTCTGTTCTCCTTCACTTTGCAGATGATGGACCGATGGGAGAATCAAGGTAGTCCTCAGACAAGTTTGTCTGCTCCGGCCATCCCGCAGAACTTGCCCTTCCCACCGGCCCTTCACCGGAGTTCCTTTCCTGACTCAACAGAGGCCTTTGACCCCCGGAAGCCTGACCCTTACGAGCTCTACGAGAAATCTAGAGCCATTTATGAAAGTAGGCGTAAGTGAAAGCTATGGAACACAAGGGTACATTAATAATAGCTGAGGCCCTCCCGGAAGATATATTGAGGCTGAACTGATCTGGCATGATTTTATATTCTGAGGTTCAGAAAGCATCTCAAAAGGAAAGCCAGCTGATCTAAACTTTTCTTAAAAAAAAAAAAAAATCTGTCAACTCAAAAAAAAAAAAAAAGCTTATATCTTTTGGTTTTAAATTTTATTTCCTACTTTTTTGCCCCTGAGGAGAATCCGGAATGTATTTGACGGAGGCAAAGGAGGTTGCTAGTTTTATTGAAGTCACCAAATAAGAAGAAGAAATGTTTCGGATTATTTTTTCGTTTAATCTGGTCTTGAGTCTGAAGCTTAGATTTTTCTTAGAGCTGTGAATGCGGCCATAGAAGAATTTAGGGCTAAGAGTAAAATGTTAGGCAAGTCCTTCCAACTCATGGTCATGAATATAACAGTTCCAAAAGCAGCAAAGAACCAGGGGCCCATCGTTTCTGCCCAAAACTTCTGCTTCTCACTTATACAGTAGGGCCCGTTGAAAGTTCAGTCATAAAATATCATGTATGCGCTTGTCATCCTATTTGAAGGTCTTCTAAAATTATTTCATTGTACTTTATAAATATTAGAAAACAAAGGTTTTTAAAATTGCATGTACATTGATTGTGCCTGTTTTCGCCATCTAACGGGTCACCGCCTCCTGATGTTAGAGGACAGGGATCTGAATGACAAAAATGTATAATCTGTGAGGGAAAGACACAGTGTGCTAGGAACTGAGTAAACAATCAAGGAACCCAGCTGAGTGAGAAGGGATTGGTCCCTGGCACTCCCATTGGTGGTCCACTGATTTCCATGGTGGCGTGTTCCGCCAATGTCTTCTTTCCAACTTTATCATCTGAAGTAGCCAATTTTAAATCATGTGTGATCTCAGAGGATCTCAAATCTTCTTACTCTTTGATGAGTGCAGGGGCTAAGAATTACGCACCCAGCTGGTAAGGGAAAAAGTAGACATAATGCCTTTTCCCCGTCCTCTACAACTCTTTATAGAAGTAATTTTGGTTGATAAAATAGTCAGGACAGCAGGCCACTGAGAAATCATTCTCACCAAAATGAATCTCCCCTCTACCTCTTTTTTGTAAATAATCGGCTATGTCAGGGCTGCTGTATTCCATTCTTCCCCTCTGAATGAACAACTGAAATGTCTGTAAAGGATTGTATAGTTAGAGAGTCTTTGCTGTGGTAGACTATGAACAAAGTAGGTATTTTTAGCTGTGTAAGATAGGGTAAGGTATGAATTCAGGTATTAATGCTCCTTAAACTTAAAAAAAATGAAAAGATTGCAGCACAGTTCTTAATACCTTTTCTGCTTCAATAATCAAGTATTTATTGAATATTCACTTTACTTTCAATACTGTGGGGAGATCCAAAGATGGGTAGTATGTCCTGCTCTCACAAATTTAACTGGGAAAATAAGAAGAATACGTAAACATGTGGAGCTCAAGATGCAGGAGAAATTCTCACGCACTGCAGGATTAAATTATCATCCTCGGGTCCTTGACTTGTTTAATTTTTTGGTGACATTGGGGGCTCATCAAGAAATGCTTCCTCCTGCTTTGCAGTTTCCTGACCAACGCAAGGCTTTATTACGCAGGATGAAGGCAATTTGGTGTTTATTCTGTCTGCTGTTTATGGTGTCTGGTAGAGTCGTGCCCTCCGTTTCTGAGCAGGAAATGTGCGTGACCTTCTTTTCAACCCTCAAAGAATTCTCATTTCTCTCTCCAGCCCCTGCAGCGCTGTTTCTGTGCATTGCTTTTCCGCTGCTCACCTGGCACAAACCGAGCAAACCAGTCCACCGCACCTCCCCTCCATGGCTTTCTCAGTCTTCCTCTGGGAGCCCTTTGTCCCCTTTGCCTCCGCAGCCAAAGGGACAACAAACATCCTGACTCCCTGCCTGGCCGCCTCGCCCGCATCAGTGCCCACATCCTCCTCCTCCCGTGCCTCTCTCATCGCGTCCCCACTTCTTGTTCTCCTCAGCTCACTCCAATGTTTCTAGGGTCACGGTCATGTTTTCAGGGTCACCACTCCTAGGAAGCCAAAGAGGGCAAGCTCATTTCCTTTCCCATCCTTTTCTTTTCTACCATGTTATTTCATAACACTAAATGGAGTGTGAATGAAATGCAGAAATCCCATCAAGGTAAGACCTCTACCCTCAAGGTGAGGGAGACCCAAAGAAAGCCAGGTGCCGCTCTGCCTGGTCTCTGGAGAGCTGGTCGGTGCCCTCTGCTTGTGGACACGCGAGTGTCTAGAAAGAACAAAACAGCCCTCTAGACTTTTTCCTGTTTCCAAGTATGGAAATGTTTCATTCTCTCATAAGTTTCGAGAACAATACCCAAAAAAGTTTTAATGAATGAGGAGAAAGCTCAGTCTATTTCTCATCATCTTCAAATAGGTTATTTTTTTTTAATGGTCATGAAATGTATGCATCCAAACACAAGACCCATATTCAAGATTCTGATCGTGAACCACTCCTATTCTTATTCCTTTACATCACATGCGTAATGTTAAGATTTGGCTCTCTTTATTCTTGAGTCCCGCAACTTTTTCCTGAGAGAAAAATCAGGAGGACCAGGGGAAGTATGAAAGGAAATCCTCCCCAAAGCTCTCTAAACGCAGCCCTTTGACATTTTCCTTGGCCTACGGGTGTCTCACAGTGTCCTTCCTGACAACAGGTCTAAAGCTAACGGGAGGTTCTGCATCCACGTTCAAAACTGGGCTGCAGGAACCCAATGAAAGGATGTCCCTCCACCCACAGGCTTCTGCTGTACAGAGCCTCAGAAGGTCTCTTACATCAAGGCTGTCAAGAAGTATTTGGATGCAAGTCACCAGTCTCCTGCAAATGACGGAAATTTATCAAATGATGTAAATGCTACTGTGCCTCATTTGGCTCATAATTAGATTATGCTGACATTTTAATGTGCATGCACAGGACATCTTAATAAAGATGTATTCCTCAAAAAAAAAATGCAGTGATTTTAAACAAACAGAGACAACCGTAGGATCCTAGAGCTGCATGAAACAGAACATGACAGGTACATGCTTACGAGAGGAAAACTAGAAACATATCCCATCCCCATGAGATCTTGTGATGAGATGGGACTGAAGAAAGAGAGAAGGAACAGACAATTTGACCAATAGTTTCTCATTCCATGTGCAAAATTGATGTTTAATCAGGAGAATGTCATGTGTTAACTATCTTTTTTTTTCTGCTTTTTCTCCTCAAATCCCCCCAGTACATAGTTGCACATTTTAGCTGTGGGTCCTTCTAGTTGTAGCATGTGGGATGCCTCCCAAGCATGGCTTGATGAGCGGTACCATGTCCGCACCCGGGATCTGAACCGGCAAAACCCCAGGCCACCGAAGCAGAGCGCACAAACTTAACCACTCAGCCATGGGCCGGCCCTAAATATCTGTTAATTATCAAAAATCTCATTAGTCATTGTTGGAGAACTCTGTGCAAAACTAGATTTTTTTCTAACTTAATTCCACGTAAGCTTAGAGCTTATATACATAAAAGAACTATGCCTAAAAAAAATCCCAAAAAGAAGTTTTGACCAATGGGTTTCTGGATTTTCATGTTAATTATTTAGGTATTGACCCTCTGTCATTACCAGCAATTCCCAGAAAAGAGCAAAAATCTCCCCACCTCCATCTCTACCCCCGACTTTTAGATAAACATCACTTTTCTCTTTGCCTAATGGCCTCAGTCAATAACTAACTTCTTGCTGTCTCCATTACTTGCATTCTTTAAAACTGAAAGCAAAGGAAAACACTCACATTTTCATAATAGGATAGGCCATGCTGTTTTTTGCTTCTCCCTTCTCTGTCCTTTTCCCACGAGTCTCATGAAAGAAGGATTTTGTTTTCTTTGCAATCACAAGAGGAAGGGCTTGAACTGTCTCGGTTTGTACCCTAACATTCTGAATGTTGGACTATGTACACCGTTTCTAACCTTGAAAAACACTATTTCTAAAGGCCCTCACTGCTTTCCACCTCCCATCTCTTCCTCCACGTGATCGCATGGTTTCTTCAACCATGTATTTCTGATATGATAGCCTCCCCACCCCCATGAGACTGCCGAAGGTGACTACACGTGCCATTTGCCTGGGACAGTCCTGCTCTGTGCTGTCCTGGCATAATATTAATAGCTTCCCTTTTACTCGCCAGATTGTCCTCATTTGAATAATAAATTATATGGTTTCCCTTTATGACATAAGCGATTAAAGAAATAGACATCATTAGTGTCCAAGAAGAGCATATATCTAAATGCACAGGCCATGAATAAAAATTTAAATACCTACTCAGATAAATAATGTCTTTCAAGTTAATTTATTTGGCCGACTGAATTTTTGCCCATACATGTTTTTTCCCCTAATTTGAGGTAAAGACTTACATGGTGGCTTGTCTTGGTAGCCAAACTCCCAGTGAACTCTCTCCATACCCAGAAAATTGTACATATATACAAATCTAGAGCATGGCAAACTAAGTAGAAAACATAGGTAGCAAGACTTCACTTATGTGGGTACTATGCCATTGAGTCTCGTTCTTATCGCAGAGAATAAACCAAATTCAACGCTGCAATAATCACAGGACCAAAAGGGAGTTAATTTCTTCTGCCTTCCTGCCCCTAGGAAGAACTATACTAACATAACTGCAGAAGAATCGCTATCGTGCCTCTTTTTTTTTTAACGCCAAGCAAAACAACATAAACTGCTCCCAAAGAAAAATGATTAAGGCTCATTTTGGAATCTCACAAAATAAAGTTTCGATCATGAGAATGAACTTAGTGACTTGGGAATGAGGGCCCTGGTCTGTTGCTTCCCTTTTCTTTAAGCCAGACTTATTCTAAAGGTTTGTTTTATCATCCTTAGCTCGTGGGACCATTTCTCGGGCTTACTCCCTACCGCAGCCTCAGAAATGGAGCAGACAAGCAGGCTGACAACAGAAATAGACAGAGGAGAAAAATCCTTGTTCCCCAAAACTCTTCCCTCATGATTCTGTCCCTTGATGTGAACCCAAGTTGAATTATGACTGAAGTTGTCCAAACTTTTTTCTCTTCACATTGAACCTTGGTTATTATAAATAAACAATTTATGAGGTACAACATGTCCATACTCCTTTGCAGTAAGCCATCATTCAAATGTAGGATCATAAAAGTGTCAGGGATCCGTCTGGTGTGGTGTGCCTTATGGTATAACCTCTTTAGAACAGAAATTCCTCAAAAAGAGCTCACACGATCAATATTTCTTTCCAGAAATTAAGAAGCATTAACCCATAGTAAGCAAAGTGTCTCACCAAAGGTAGCCATCAAAAGTAACCACTGGCGAGTCAAGAGCATAATGGAGGAGCAAAGCGTTTTTAGTACTATACCTGAAATGAAATTATAATTTGTAGCCAATCAAAAGCAGACAGTTGTGTTTTTCACATCTATGGTCTTTATCCTGCTCTTTTCTTGTTCGTCGTTGGTCGTGGAATTCTTTCATTGTTCAGTATGGTAATGCGCATAGAATTCGTGGCTGATCACAAATGGGTCATTGTATTTCTAAACTATCGGTTTTTCTGCTGCTCTTGCCTTGTTATTAGTGAACAAGGGTTGTAGTTTGGGCTGTCCCCCATCCTAACAGCAGAGCCTCTTAGAAATATGGGGTAGTATAAAGATATTACCCACCCTCTGCGCACAGCACTTGAGGCTATAAGGATGATGGGAGCCACATCACACCAGGTTGATATAGAAGACCCATGGTGCTCAGAACACAGCCCCAATCCTGTGCCCTCCAGGGCTTCTGCTTGAGCCTTCCTATCTCCAGTCTCCTTGGCCCACGTGATTAAACTCCTCACACAGTCAAGCTGGAAGTATCAATAGGTTTAAAAAGGTTTGAGAAATTCACGGATGCCATGGCTGCAGGCATCTATTAAGTGAGTCTGAAAGGCCACCTTGCCTTCCTGGAGAGCATCCACACGGCGGCCCGCTGCTCCATCAAGCCCTGACCTCACTTGCTTGGACATTGCTGGTGTCCAGTGGCCTTAAAGTACCACCCACAAATGCTCTCCGGAGCACTATCTTATTTTAGTGAAAAATTAAAATAAGATGATATGTAAATGTTAAGATACTTTTACCAGGGACTTTAGCATTAGAATCATAAAAGACTAGAAAAAGATTTAATAACACTATCATCTTAAATGTCTTCGACTGTACTATGAAGGTTAATTTTCTGTAACTTTTTCCCATGGGCAAACCGTTATTGCTTTCCTTAGATTAATTTATGCTATGATTTGATCTGTTAAAAAAATTCGCCTTTCAGCTGCAGATTCTAATATATTTGTGCATCACTTTGCAGTTATAATATATTGATAAAGAAAATCAGTCAATCCAGTTGTGTTTGCCATTTTTAATACGTAGGTTTTAATTTGGAAATCTAATTTGAAAAATAGTATTTTCAGGGAGCTTTGTAAATAACTATGGTCATATTTAGATTTCTAACAAGATCCTTTTAAATAAAGGAAGTTACCATGATATGAGCTAAGTAATAAAGATAGTGAAATAAGAGTTAAGTTGGGGACACATTTTTCCCATATATTTTAGAAATTAGATCAAATCTGATAGCTTATAAATTTATTTAATTCAGTAGCTTAAAACTTAATGCTCCTGGAATCAGGCAGGGGAGAAAATGTGAGAAATAAACTCTAAAATCAGCCTTCGATTGAAAAGTTATTTAATGTGTCAAAGCATTTGGTTGGTGGCACAAATTGACAGTGTAACCCAAAGTACTTTTATGAATAAACAGGAGACCATCAGGGCTGCAGTGAACTGAATGTAATTGCTGGATGGCAAGTAGGTCCCAGTGAGATTATGATAATATAAAATGTCAGTTTTACAACTAATCGAAGTGTTTTGAAGGTAGCAGCCCTCTGTCCCTGATACAGCTCAATCTTTTTGATGAAAGGATATTTCGCAATTCCTTAACCTCAGCAATCACACTAAACATGGAGGTTTTTTAAAAAATAACAGTTCTGCTAGAAAGCTGATTTGCCTTTACTGTGAAAACACAGACTGCCTGGCAGGAATGAGCATCCTGCACGTGATGAGTGAAGTGAGCTGGCAGGGTACAGCAGTCAATCCCAAGAGCCTGGCGATGCTACACCCCACCATTGCCCTCAGGAGGCTTCTGGTTCATTTTCATTGCTGAAAAGTGTGGAACTCCCATTTGAAACAAACAAAGCTCAATAAGAAAGCAATCAGAATTTGGTCTTGTTTTTTTAAATTTAATGATAAAATACTCATTTTTTTTCATAGTGCTTCATAGAGTATATATTATAGTATAAATGTAGTATTTTATACACTTGTCCATGAATTTTTATGTTATGCATGGCATAGATTACGACATAATTCTCATGAAGGATCTGTATTTTGAAAATAAAACAGTTTAACTCAACTACTTGTATGTAACTTCAACTATCCAAATAATTGTAAGTATCAAAATATTTGGACTGTTATACATAAATCAACACAACCGTTGATTGAACTTTCCGCTTTTTGTTTTAATCCTTGATAATACAATATCATAACATAATCTAAAAAGACCTTCATTTACTGTGTGTACATTTCGGGTTCTGGATTAATTTAACTTTCAAATAAGCATTTTTATAATGAAAATCAAGGCTTAATATTTTGGAAATCGTGATCTTTTTTCCATTCTGATCTAAAAAGATTTAGATTTTTCTATTTCACATGCATGTGAAAAATACACATACAGACATGTTCACATACATCAAACAGGGTAAACCTGTCCCCTGACTTCCATGGATTTTTAGAGGAAAAGCAAAATCATTAAACACGAGCACAAGATTGGGGGTGAGTTATAATAGCAGCAAAAAGAAAGTGAAGATGAATTTTAAAGTGCCATAAATGAATTTCAATTTTAATTCCCCATTTTCCCATCCAGAACAAGTGCCACCAAGGACCAGTTTTCGAATGGATTCCTCTGGCAAGTATTCTTCAGTACTCACAGTCCTGTGAATGAAACGTCTTTCATTTTGTGTAACAAATCATTCTTCTGAGTAGTATCAGTTTATTAGCATATAATCACCGTGCTAATTTTATTCACCCACAGAAGCACGCATTGAAGGTAGAGAGCAAGTCTTACCAAGGTGGGCCTAAAGGGCTGCCAAGGAAGGAGACAAGGAAAACGGTCATATTCATTCATTTCTTTCATAAAATGCTTTAGCAAAAGCCTAGGTTAAAAACCAGGTGCCAAAGAAAGCCACCAGACTGAGTAGACCCATGCTGTCCAGTACAGTAGCTTCTGGCCACTTGAGGTTATTTTGCACTTGAAACATGGCTGCTCTGAATTTGGATGTCCTGTAAGATGTGTGCAAAATCCACACCAGATTTCAAAGACTTAGTACAAAAGAAACATATAACGTCTCATTAATTATTTCTTATATTGATTAATGCTTAAATAATATTTTGGCTACATTAGGTTAAAAAATATATTATTAATATTATACCTGTTTCTTTTTGCTTTTAAAAATGTGGCTACTAAAAATTTTAAATTCCTTATGTAGCTTACATTTTATTTATATTGGACGGGCTGAACCAGATAAATAGAAGTTAGAAGATAGAGTATCTCAAGAGATTTGTAATCTAGACATTTCCAAAGAACTTATTAAAAATTTTGCTGATATGGAACGAAATTATTTTCACATCAAATACTTGTATCAATTTAATTTTTTTAAACCATACTATTTACAAAATGCTACATTTCAATAGTATTTTAAGTTAGAGTAGGATATCATGGTTTCAAGTTTAAGAGCTTTTAGTAATAATCATTTAATTAAAGGGAAAAGTTGTTTTGACCTAACCATTCTGGAAATACTTACCAATTTTGGTTTAGGCTAAAATATTGAAGGTTAATATTGGAAATGAAGGAGGAAAAGGAAGATTCAGATTTTTTTTACTCTTAGGAAGTGCTCTGAACAGCTGATTAGACCACTGGATTGAAAGCCAGAATGCTGAAAGAATTGCAGAAAAGAGTGTTTCTTAATAATAGTACTGTTTCAGGTCTTTGGGCTCACAGCACACATCTCTAGAGTGTTTCCATGATGACAGCTCATTATCCATCTCAGCATGTTCTAACACCCCTTGGAGAATCTATGTGCTTGAGATCATTTCATTCTGTAAGTTTCCATGTCATTTTTTTGGATATGTAGGAAATATGGAAGATATTGCTTGGCATTTTGTTCTCGAATAATGTCTGAAGTATTTGTTTAGCTTAGTCTGAAAAATCTGAAAGCATAGTTATTCTTATACATTGACTGTAAAATCCTTGTAATTTTTAAGAATTTCTTATGCCCAGGGGGAAAATGAGACCTAGTAATTACAGCTACAAAATGAAAGCAGAATTTAATTAGAGATTCTAAATCTCAGCTTACTAGCCACAGCAAGCACATTTTGTAGAAATTTCAGCTTTTGAATGGACTTTATTTAAAAACAAAAGAAGAACCACCTAATAGTTTAGATTACCTTGATATATATGCAAAATGATGTTTTTATATTTCAAAAAATATATGTTACTTAAAAAGGAAACGTTATGTAGTTTGAGTATATTATGCTACTATGCAATCCAGATTTTCAGAACAGGAACCAATCCAAATATTTTGTTAAATGTCCGTACAAGTTATCAAAATATTCTGGAAAATCATGACTGCCCTCAAAATAAGTAGATCTCCCATACTACTTCTCACATTTATAAAATATCCTTTATCAAATTATGTGTCATGATTTTTGACTCATATATATTTATCATAATTATAAGGTATTTTACTAACTTTAGCTGCATAAGATGCTTAGGTACAAAGGCAAAATTGATAGTAGGAAGTTCTAAATAATGTAATTGAGAAGCTAAGTGATATCTGCATAGTAGAATAATACTGTGGTTTCTCAGGTCTACTAAATTGATGAGCATCTTAAAACAATTAAATTCAAGAAACATTTATTTAGAAACTCCTACAGCCTGTGCATAATGGAATGCTATAGATAGACAAAGATAATTTTGCCATCATCAAGGCAGAATGTTAGTGAGAAACAATGAATCCATAGTCAGGACCTTTGAATGGACAACTCCTCCCAAAGACGAGAGAGCCAGGGCGTGGAGTGTCACAGAAACCAAGAGTAGAAATGACTTCCGGAAGGAGACTTTTCCGTGTTTAGAAACGAAGGAAATCAGGGGTCATAAAGGGTACATCAGCAGTATCAAATGAGGCATAGAAATCAAGCAAAATAAGGAATAAGAAAATGGCCATTTGATTTGGTCATTAGGATGCCATCAATGACCTTAAAGAGAGCAGTTCAGTAAGGCCAAGAGAGGAGAAACTAGACAGACAGGAGTAAGTCAGAGGTGAGAGAGTGAAGATGAGGGGGCTAAAGCCCCACTGGAGACTGCTGTTCTAAGAAAGAAAGAAACAGGAAGAGCAAGGGAGTATTTAGGATGGGCAAGCCTGAGTTTGTTTGAAGGCTGAGGGTGAGAACCAAATAGAGTGTGGGAGATGGCTTCAACTGCAGCTGAAATGCGGCTGGCCACATTCACATTACCAAAGGAATAAAGGAAAAGAGTAAAGAGAAGGGAGTCTTTTAAGGCAAAAATATATTAGCTACTCACCTGGCGATGTTAGACTCAAGCAACAGAAACTATTTCATTCCTATTTAACTCATTCTGTATCTGGAGTGCATTGGAAATCCAGAAGCCAAGGACATATTTCGTAACCACCTTGACTCCTGATTCCTTCCTCGTACTGTCTTTCCTAGATCTTTTTACAAGGAAAAGCCAAAACATTAATGCCCTTTCCAGCAGGAGAATTTGAATGAATTCGTTCTCTGTGCCAAACTGTGATAATAAGCCCATGGTACTTACGTTTTAATTAAAACATGAAAGGGGATTCAAGTACCAAAATTTAATTGACGTGTTTACAGCAGCATCCCATGTGCCAAATTAATCCATAAAAATGCCGTTCTTTGCATTTTTGAAGCTTGAATCCATTCATAAAATTAATCGGTTGTGTTCAGTCACCCTTCTTTTTGCCTAAAACTGTGTACAAAGCCATGTCTTTCAAAAGCTAGACCAATGGTACGTGAAGCAGGGGAAGCCTTCCTGGTGCCTTAGTGCAAAATAAGAATCAGCTTTTGAAATTCCTCTTTTCTCTATTATGACAGAGGCCGTCCTGATACCTGGATGTGGCCATCATTTGCTACTTGTAAACACGTTAGCTTTTTCAATATTAGTGGGAGGTCAGGATAAATAGGGACTGTAAATTCTGTTCTAGTAGCTTGCCACAGGGGTAGTGTAAAGTCGCATCTGGAATGAGTATCTCAAGAGAGTTTATTTCGTAATGCCTGAGGGATCCTAAGACTCACCTTCCAAGGAAGAATCAACGCTGGCCATGACTGGCCATTGAAGACCAATGTCCAAAGAGTGTTCTGGCTCTCCTTAGTCCATTTCTTCACAACCACTGCCTCGTCTTGAGTTGCACCAAGCAATGTCTGAGACTTCTGCCAAAAGCCTGAGGAAAAATAAGGTGAAAAAGAGCACAGAAAGAGAAAAAACAGGAAAGCAAAAGAGAAAAAAGGATGTTGGTGGGAACATGGTTGAGTGACATCCAAAGTCACTCAGGTCCCACTAGGTGTCCACCTGTCCCCTTCATCTAAAAACCTTCCAGGCACTTGGTTTGCAAACCAACAGGAGAGAGGGATGGTGCTTGTTAAATTCTGTCACATGGCGTGAAGAGTTAGCCCTTGAATTTCTTTGCTTTAAGTTCTTGCATTAGCAGGGGAAGTGATAAAGCATGATACAGTAATTTTAAACATGTCATCAGGCCAGAAGAGCAACTAAAGGAAAGTATCAGTAACATCACAATCTTTCAAGAAAGCTAACAAAGCAGGAAGGAGAAAGAGGAATGTCTCCTAGCTTTCTGCATATAATTTTAGTTATTTTCTAAAGCCAGACCCAAATAGGGGGAAAGAAACCAAAGAAAAATTATCTTTCTAAAAGCTCTTATTTTCCCATTAAAAAAAAAAGTACTATTGCCTTAAGGCACAATCTATCATTTAAACTTTTTTTCCAGTTGACTATTTCTCTAAAGTTTCCATACCCTGCAGCCTCTGAGTCTGTGTTCAAAATTAACAAAGAAATAAAAAATAAATCACGTCTGCTGGCACACTTCTCTAATGAGTCTCTCTCTGCCTCTCTCTACTTGCTCAAGTGCCATGAAGCTGGCCTTCTCTGTCTGAAGGAATGGAGGCTGAAGGTGACGTGGCTGGCACCTATCAGCCTATATTTGAAGCCAGAGTGGTCAGAGCACTAGTCAGGAGATGGGAATGTCACCAAATGCGTGTGAAGAACAGGAGAGGAGGACACATGCCCTTATAGCTGTTCTTCAGAGTTAAATAAAATTAACTAGCTAAAATCTATATTTTTCTACTTAAAAAAAAAGGAGTCCTGAGTCATTCTTTAAGCAAAAGCTTTCCAGTTTCCCAAATAAAATGGATCACAGAGTAGACTCCTTTTAGCGTTCCCCAGGCAACACTGGCACTAAAGCCATTGGAGGAACAGTTTCCCAGTTACCATACCCAGCAGCAAAGCAAAGTGAGAATGTTTACAAGAGTAGATGGAAAGTTCTGGTCAAGCATACGCTAAATCTATCATTTGGGGTCAAAAATATATCATGCTCTCTTTGTATCATTTTATGTGTATATGGTCTGGAGTCCTCTAAGCTTCAAGTAACCTAGAGAAGAGATTGCTGTGAGCAGTCATATCATAACCAACTTGTAGAGGTTTGAATGGTGGTTGGCATTATCTGTCATCTCCCCATGCCTTTCTGCCTCCCTCGGGAGAAGTACAGGTGTCTGCTATGATTTTGTAGGCCTGCTCCGCTTGCCTCTAGAGTGAGTCCCAAAGGCTTAGTACACGCCCCAATGTGTGATTTCATATATGATGCTGTAGACCCCAGAATCAACTGAGTTCACAAGTCAGTTGTGACTCCTAGAGTGTAGGACAAAGTGTTCCTTTTCCTTTTACCACCCGACTCTATTTAATAGGAATTGAATTCTTCTAAGTTCTCACATCTTTAAAATATGAATGATTACACAATTCATAAAGGATGACTAACGCATGGAGATCCAATTGGTTAGTCTTCTTTGAGTCTTATGTTAGTCAATGGAAAAGATTTCGGTTATATGTGGATCTGGTCACAAAAGGACGTGAATGTTCACGGAGTCATGCACAATATATACATGTACGTATACATGATTATGTGCCCGATTCAGCTTCTTTTTGAGAGCACTAGACACGCAATCAGCTTATGCCTACATTTCAGAAGTGAACGGCTTGCCTTTCATGTATCACTGGGAATGCACAGCCCAGGTTGGAGGGCACCAAGGCAAGACCAGTATCATTGTGCTTTGTTTACTGTGTCACTTCAGCAGCCCCACTTGCTACAGCGTCAGGAAAAGGTTCTCCTGACCGTCATTCATTGAGTCTATCTCTCAGTTATGACTGCTACTCTGTGTCCAAGTAGCTCATACATAGCTTCCTGTCCCATGAGGATTGTCCTCTGAAATCTCATCCCGATTCCCAAAATCATCCAGTTTAAGCAAGGAGAATTCAACTTAATACTTGCTTCTACCAATTCTTATACCTTTAAACCATTAAGGCCCGGAGACCACTAAATACTTCTTAAGCAAATGATGGCATTAATAAGTACTCCCCAAATTGCTGATCGTCCATGGACGTCCTAACAGTGGCCATGAAGGTAGGCACAACTCAGTGACGATTGAGGCGTTTAGCACTGAGGAAGGTTCAGAGGGCCAGGGTAGGGGTAAGTGTAAATCATATTCTCCTTAAAAAGTCCAAAGATTTCTTATAGTTTTAGTTTATTTGTTCTAGGGTTTAAAAAGATGACATTCAAGAGAGTTTCCCAGCTTATTTTTAAGTGCATTTCTGTTCTTTGAGCTGACTGCAGGAAAATATCCCTCTTCTAGTTTCTTTGGAATATGCTAGTGAGGTCAATTATAGTCTACTAGTGGCTTCCACTTTTTAAAATATTTGGGGGTAAGAGTTCACTTGGACCCAGGCAAAATTCTACCCCTAAATTATGAAAAACCTACAAGAATTTGTCGGAAAATAAAAACTTCACTTAAAACCCAATAGAGAAAAGTTTAAATTTTGCATTTTCTAATTTTTACAATTTTAAAAGAGACAACTTCTGTTATCCATACATTTATATCTGCCCCCCACCGCACACACACACAAACACACACACACACACACTAAATTGGATGCGTCCAGGAATAAACAGATATTATTAAGTTACTAGGCGGTACTTTACCAAGTGGTTCCAGGACGTTACGATCTGTTCTCTCATACTTCTGAAACAATCGTTCTAGTCAGACAAAACATCCTCAAAGTGACAGCCAGTCTTCTTGAGGGCAATCTGAATGCTCTAAGAAAAATAAAGAATTATAGAGGCATCAATTTTTTTTTTCCACTCAGAAAATTCGTATAGTCCTTCTGCCGATGGTGATACCCTAGCCGTGCCCTTGGTTGGTCACTCTTAATCCTGAGACCACCTCGTTGTGGAATACCTACTTTTTTGTTACCATGTGTTTTTATCCTCTGTGCTCTCCACCGACTCTAACAGCACTCTCATTAATCACATCCACAAAATTAATTTATCGTCGGTGTGTTCAGTTCCTAAGGGGGTGGGCAGGAGGCAGGACTCATTACTCAATGGGATCTCCCTTATGCCAGGTCCAGATTACAAGGAGCTGGATGTTCACCTTCGCAGGATGGAGTCTGGATTTGGCTTCAGAATCCTCGGGGGCGACGAGCCTGGGCAGCCTGTAAGTGGAATCCTCTTTATTGCCACACTTTGTGCTCTGTTGTGTGTGTACGCATCGGGCGAAATATCATTCAGGGTGACATCCAAAGGGAAATCTTTCAGGACTCACATTAAAAAGTTTGAGGTTTGTTTTCTTCTTGCAATTTAAGTTCTCAAAACGTGCCAGTGTTTCCATGCCAATATATCGTCATAAATCAATGCACATTACATTGAGGGGGGGATTACTCTTTCGTAGAATGAGTTGGATTCTTCTTGAATATTTCAATTAACTGCATTGGACCCTGATCTCTCTGGGCAGCAGCACACAGGTAAACACACAGCATGACAGAAGATACATGTGAAGAGGTGACTTGGAACAGCAGAATTATCTATATTTTCGATCAAAACTACAGGGGAGAGAAAACACAGGGATAAACAGAAGTGAAATGAAGCTCAGTGCTGCAGAATCGCACCCAGATTTGAATTAAGGGGTTACCATGAGAAGTCCACAATGTCGACTTCAGTTGGCACAATATTGAGAATTCAGGAAGGGCTCTGGAGATATCTTGATTATTGTACATCAAAGTGAAAGCATAAAATAACTGTATTCAGCAAAATACAGAAAACACAGCAAAGCTAGGTTTATGAGCGTATATTAAAATATTGGCCATAAAACACTCATTGTAAAAGATATCTTAAATGGTACTCAATGGGACTAAGTCAGGTCCATGAAAGGGTTGAGTAAGTGACACCCCATCCCAGCTCAGGAGCCTGTACCCTATTCTAGCTCAAGCAAGGGACTTAAGCTCGTAGCCTCAGTTCCCTCCTCTACAAGATGAGGATAACAGTAGTACTGTCTCACAGAGTTGCTTTAAGAATTAAAGAAGATAACGTATGTAAAGTTCTCGATATTGTGCCTGGATCGCATTAGGTGTTGAATAAGTGTTTACCATCTTCATCTCTCTTGTTGGTAGATTGTTCCAGAAAATAAAACTAGAACCACTGATGGGCAGAAATCTTCAGGAGAAAAAAGTTAATCTAACAAACGAAAGGAATCTATAAGAATTGAAACTGTCTCAAAGTGAAGGAGATTGTCTTAGTAGACAGTGAGCTCCTTCCCAGGAGAGGTCAATGAGAAGCATCCTCTACCCTACAAGATAAGTTGGACTGGATGAATAAAGGGGTCTCTTACTACAGAAAACTCCAAGAGGCTGAGCTTGGACTCCAAGGATGAGGGCACTCCGGGAAAAAAAGACTTATTTCCTAATTCCTGGGGACAAAATTAGGCAAAGTTCAATCAGAATGTCACTAAGTCCCCAGCAGCCAGAGAAGACGTGAAAGCGATTTGCCAAGGAGAACTGTCTGGATTTTCCCACTAGTGCTTTGGGAGGAAAGGGTGCTGAGGTGAAATACAGGGCTCCAGTAACTTCAGACTTAAATTAAAGCTCTGATGTCAGCGGGGGAAGAAAAACCTCAGTGGCATTTTTGCTCCCCTTCACAGAGTTGTTCCCTTCTCTCTGTCCCCTGATTCTGAGTTTTCCAGGGATCCTCAGTCACCTAGTCAGCTCTCTAGCCTCACTCATCTCTATAACTCATCTTGCTTTGTGTAGAGAGAATCAAAAATAGTATCAGGCCCCTTCACACATGTAAATATTTAACCTCCTGGCCTCTTCAGTGTGTTTATCTGACTTAGCCTCCTTCAGGATTGCTCTCTAAATTGTTCATACGTTTGTCTAGTTATCTTGATTGGTGGAATTTTAAACTCTTTCTAAGCTGGGACCTCGTCTTTCCCTTTTTATTCTCCTTTAGTGCCCCGTAAATGAGAAGTGTGCCATTACCCAGAGTTAGACAAACTCCAGGTGAAGGTCTGAGTCCTCCAAACTGCCAAGTCTGAGGGAAGAATCTCTGTAAGACTGCCCTCGCTTCAGACACCAGATGCAAATCTGGGGGTCCCCACAGACTCCCTCGGGTTCGATAATTCACTAGAACAACTCATAGAACTCAGGAAGTGCTCTGCTCGTGATTACAGTTTTATTATAGTGAAAGTGAAAGGGTACAAATTAGAACCAGCCGAAAGAAGAGGCACATGGGACAAAGGCTAGAAGGGTTCTAAATGTGAAGCTTCCATTGTCCTCAGAGATGTATTACCCATGATGCACAGAGCTTTGGCAACCAGCGATGCTCATCCAAGTTTTGGTGTCCACAGTTTTTATTGGGGTTTCATCATGCGGGCATGATTGATGGAATCATTGCCCAAGTGGTTGAACTCAATCTCCAGCCCCCTTTCCCTCCCAGAGGTCAGGCTACTACCATGTGGCTCAAAGGCCCAACCCTCTAATTACTTGCCCCATCATTCTGGCGTGGTCAGCCCCCACCCTAAGACTGTTGGTGTGGCTGGCTCCACCCTGCGTCATCTCCGTAGCATGAACTATCAAGTGCCCACCATGAGTCTCTTCACTGGCATAAATGCTCAGGTATGGTCCAAGGGGCTCACCATGGACAACAAGGACACTCCTGTGCCAAGGGTCTGGAGGTCACCTTTCAGGAAAGGCCAGACTCTCTTTGGGCTGAGGCCAGACTCTTTATTACACAGCCGTATGCTTCAAAGACACCAAATGAAGGAGACAAAACAAAACCATGTCTAAAATAAAATAGCACTTTAAGATGATCTTTATAGCATTTTGTGGGATACTGGGCACTGAGACTTTCGTAGGGCATTTAAGGGTAAATTCATATAGAACCCACTGCACGCACACTAACATAATGCCCCAAACTTAGCAACTTAAGTGATCTCCTGCAGAAAGATGAGGTCCCTGTTTGTCCCAGAATGCACTGACTGACATGCTTCTTTTCCCTGACCAGTCTGTGAGCTCCTTGAAGGCAAGGACCGTGTTCTGATGGTGTGTATGTCTTCCAAGCCTAGCATAGAGCCTGGCACAATAAATATTTGCTAAATGGATAAAGTCCTCTTCATCAAAACAAAACTGTCACCTGAGCTTCTGAGAACAAGTAATGACTTGGGGTTTACATATGTTGAGGCCTCTATATCCTACAGGCTCTGCAGAGTTGAAATGGCCCCATCCTAGAAGCAGCGATGGGGTCCCGGCAGCCCTACAACATGTTTTGTTAGCTCCTCCAATATGTTTAAATTCCTGCACACCAACTAATTTCACATTTTTAAAAGTTAAGATTTCTATCTTCTCTTGAAAAATACCAGCAGCAACATCGAGCCTGCCTTTCTCCACGATGACCGCTGGCTGGAGCTAAGCAGTGGTCCCTTTTGGGCTGAGCATGGCCACAGCCCCGCAAGCTCCCTAATGCCTGTGTTACTTATTTTGTCTACCGTCTCTGAGGCTCCCATCCCAGGGGATTAGATTGAAAGAGATGGGAAAGATAAATATTTTATGCAAAAGGAACCTCCAACCAGGGCCAGATCATGGTTTGTATAGGCCCTAAGCCCTGAAAATATTATCAGGTCCCTTCTCTATACAAATACGAACAAAAGATTAAACTATAAAATAAATGTGAGTGAAAACAGCAAAGTTCCAATTCTTCCTGTGATGTTTACTTCAATGCCATCTCTGAAATATAAAGTTCTTACTTTGTTGGACTCTCCCTAGGCTCATGCTTTGTCTGCTTTGGGGATTAACCAGCCCCCTACTTGGGAAATATCATCTTCCCCTGTTTCCCCTTCCCCAGAGGTAGAAGGGGTTGCATGCCAGAGTCACAGGGACAACACAGTCTCAGATGGCACAAGAAGGGAGAGGTCGGGATGAACCCTGCCTGGCACAGAAGCAATAGAATGTGACCCACAGGGAACACGTGTTGCTCAAAAGGAAGCTCGAGTGTGTGAATGCAGCCACGGTCACCACGCAGCCTCAGGACAGCTTTCTGCCTGGATGGGGCCCAGATTCCTGGCTTCCCAGCCTTTCTGAATGTTGGCTTTGCATTCCTGACTCCTTTCTCCCCTCCAGTGGGCAGGCATCAAGGATTTATGATAAGTCTCCTCAGATTACGTGGATTGCTGGGGTTATCTCATTGTGTTTATTTAAATTTATTCTGGTTCATGCCTTCATTTGAATGATTTAAGACACACTCATGCTGCAAGTTACTGTTTTGACATTCAAGCCATAAAGCAGATGCCTAAATCTCCCGGAAGCAAGCAAAGCCAGAAAATAGTGAGTCTTGAAGACCAGAATGTTCCACCTCAGGAAGTCTATGTCAGGAAGAGAGACTCTGCTTTAAAGATCTCCCATCAGCCTGTCCTTCCTGTTTTCCTCTGTTGCGAGTCCAGAGATAACGTACAGACAAAATGCACTAGCCTCACTTAATTGCTCATGTGCTGCAAAGGGAGAAGCGCGTGAGGTGACGTGGTCCCCAACCACAGGAGGTCTCGTAGATTACCAGACGGGTTTCTGCCTCCATCTATACGAAATGGTATTGACCTCTCGGGGTGCACATGAAAGACGACAACACTGCTTTTTGAAATGATGAACAGCAGGCCTCCCGCTCAAACAAAGCATACAGACATTTTTCCTACAAGAGAAAATACTTTTCACAGTCAAATAACAATAGAAATAGAAAGAAATGAAAAATTGCCAGAAAGGAACTAAAATGGGATATCCAGCTGTGAGCTGAAAAGACATGGAAAGGCATCAAGATGGAAAGATTTGAAAACAATGCAGTGGGAAAAGGCCCGTGCAGAGAAGAATTGTTCTAAGAGAGAGAGGTAGTGACAGACATACTCCTTGGCATGGGAGTGCAGGGCAAGTTTCAGAAGGCAGGAGTCTGAAATCAGCTTGCCGCATTGTCAAGTGGCTCCGGGCTGTAGTTACTGCAGATCAGATTTCTGGGGTTAGACTAACATTAGGTAGCACAGGGGAACATTAAAGGAGTTAAAAAGGCTTCCGAAGTGGTTTTGGTTTTGTTTGTTTTTGTTTTATTTTATTTTTTTGGTGAGGAAGATTGGCCCTGAGCTAACATCTGTGCCCATCTTCCTCTATTTTATATGTGGGATGCTTGCCACAGCATGGCTTCATGAGCAGTGTGTAGGTCCATGCCCAGGATCCGAACCTGTGAACCCCAGGCTGCTGAAGCAGAATGCATGAACCTAACCACTACACCACTGGGCCGGCCCTTTGTTTTCTTTTTTGTGTTAGTTTTTCCCCCTCGCTTACTGTGATATCAGCTACTTGAATGTGAATGGCCGTTATTTCACTTCATGTCCTCTGTTGTGCTCCGTGCTCTCACAGCCTGTAAGATGAAGTGGAGCTGTGGAGTTGTTTAGATTCTTTTGCTTTTTAGAGAAGGCAATGAGAAAAATAAGGCCATGGGTCAGTTGTTCATAGGGTGGGAGGGCAATATTTCTCCCTCTGTTTTGCCACAAAGCTCTCCCTTCAGGGCCAAAGCAAGAGAGGCAGGATGAAGAATTCTGAGGGCAATGAGAAAACTGATGAGCCGAATGAAAGGTCCGCAGAGGCTGAAGGATCCATTGAGGTCAGAGGGAGGTGATGAGTGAGGCAAGGCCACTGATGGCTGGGAATGCTCGCTGGCCAGACTACCCAAGGGCTGGCAAGACTGGTAGGAAAATGCAGTCTGATGGGCACAGGGAGCCCAGACCGTGCACTCAGGGCAGAGGCCTCAGTGGAACTGGAAAGTGACCCCCGCGATGGGGCAGGGAGCTCCGGCCAGCAGACTTGGAACATGACCAGAAAGACCACAGACCCTGTGGCCTTTGGATCAAGTGGGAATACTGGGAACCTTGCTACCCAAAGGGTGATAGATCTAGAGACCAGAAGCATCCAACGTCTCCTGGGAGCTCGGTAAACATGCAGAATCTCAGGCTCCACCCCAGGGCTGCAGAATCGGGTACTCAGGGGCAGGTCCAGAGCTCTGTTCTAATGAGCTCACTGGGCAGTTCATGTGCACCCTAAAGTTTGAGAACTACTGACTTAAATGATGAGATATCCTGAGGCAGGTTCCCAAGAACTTAAGTGCACCTGAGAATGTGTATACATTGGGAAGCCGTATGAGTTCCAGTGCAACAAGGAATCAGAGATTAGCTGGTCCCTGCGGTTATGGTGGCAGACAGGAGATAAAGTAATAGGATGTGTTGAGTGTACAAAGCATATTCGAATTAAGGGAAAAAAAGTTGTGGATTTTTTCCTGAATAGAGAGACACGTAGAGCTAGCTCTGTGTGAGCAGTGAAATAGAATGCATAATGGCCAAAGGCTAAGGGAGCAACAGCAGCTTGAGAGCAGAAACAGTGACAGTGGGTGTGGTCAGCCTCTTCCCAGCCAAGGCAGCAGCTCCTGTGGATGGAGCAAAAGGACCGAATAGACATCGCTAGCGGACCAACAGCTCTAATGCCTGCCCCAGTGTACCACGCTCAGTTCCGTTCGAGCCTGTTGAATAGCTATGGCAACCTCTTTTTTGAAACAAGGTAGAGATGGATTGTATACTGCATTTATATAAAAATATATATACACATAATCATTACATAACACTATATAATAAATTATATTGAAGTATTATACTGAAAATACTGTTTATTTAGAAATAATATGTGAGTTGATAGAACAAACTAAAGTTTGAAGATTAAACCTTCAGGTTTAAAAAAACATGTGTCCAGTGAACCTCACTCTTTGATCAAATGTCAACTTCTCCATGAGGTCACTCTCACCAGCCCTGACACCACCTCGGCCACATGACTGACACCCACCCGTTACTCCACCTTGCTCTATTTTTTCCATAGTACATACTTGCTAGCAACCAACATAATTACACATTTATTGTTGGCTGACCACTAGAATGGAGACTCTATAGAGCAGAGATTTTTTATTATTCACTGATGAGTTCCTAGCATCCTGGAGTGTTCCTGGGCTCCAGGAATATTTGCTGGATAAATGAGTTAGTAAGGAGAGGACCTCACGTCACAGCAGTCCAGCAGAAATCAGACGTTTTACTGGGATTTTCCTGCACGGATGATACTAACTAAACTGGTAGCACAGAAGATAACTTCGAGATTATTTGTATATCTTTGCTGTTGTCCTATAGCAAGAGAGGAACAGGAATTTTCCAGTGTGACGTTTTGTTTGTACGATTTTTGTAGAGGGCCCAGTTGCATTCGTGGTTCACTCAGTTGTAGCCTAGTTTTTGGTTCACTTTCATCAGTTAGAATCAGAACTATAGCTTAAATCTGATAACTAAGCAGCCAAGAAGTTCACCAGCCATCTTTTTCGCTAGCCAGCTATAAACCCTCCCACTAAAGCGTACAGGAAATCTAAAGGTTGAAGCATTTCCTTTGGGCTCACCCAGCTAAACGAAGCTTTTCATGGGGCAGTGGAGAAACATAAACATTTGACTGGCTTTTCCACAAAGCACTTACCAAATCTTTGAAGGGCCCCTTGGCGGGTTGAGTTTTTTGAAGAATGGATTGGAACATCTTCAGAAGGAAACTCATAAATTCAGGTTGGCATGACAGTAAGGGAAAATGGAGAATGTCCGAAGCATGCCGACTGCTGGACTATAGCAGCAGGCTCAGAGGGTCGCAGGAAGGAGCCGTGCTGTACAGCCAACCCAAGGCGGGAAATGTGAGGCCTTTCCCGTGCCAGCAATGAGGAATCGCTCCTCAGAGCACTAGTATTCGAAGTGGAGACAAATCTACTCCCCACCCCACCCCACCCCACCTCCCAGAAATAGGAGAAAAGCAGCTGTGGTGGTGGGATAATGAGAGCTATGCATGGACCAAAGCTATGAAGTCCTCAGGGAAAAAGATAACTCTTCAGACTATAATTTTGCTTACACTTGAGAAGTCCTGGGCATTCAGATCTGGCCGCCATGCTGACAGGCCGCACCGAGCAGTGTGACCCAGTAGGAAACAGTCGTTCTGCCACCAAACTTAGAAGACATGCAAGCCCACAGGTCACGACAGAGCAGCCCTGCTGATTAGCTGGAATCCACAGATCTGGAGTTTGGAAGAAATTGTTGTGCCTGGAAGAAATCAATCTGTGAGCAGGGGATCATTTTATAAAGACTTAAAATAAAATCTAGCACGTAGCCTCTGTAATATTATCAGACTAATGGTAGCCACCACCTTCAGATGCTGTGCGACTCAGCCACTGGCGAAAGACTAGAGGTGTCTGTTGACCAGGAGTCGGAAAAATTGTTTGTAGGTTAAAAAGCAAAACTAAAATATTTTGTACCGTTGTCTTTCCTCTGAAAAAGAAAAAAAAGCCTTGCTAATGGAATCTAATTTGAGTGTTTCTAATGGGAAGTGGGGAACCTTATGTTAGGCCTTTCATGACCGTCCCTGGTTTGGGGAATTACAAGACACGCATTTCCCAGGTGTGTACCTCCTTGTTTTCCAGTCTGGTGGCCACCTAAGCAGCCGTAGCACTTCAGGAGACAGGCAGGACTGAGAGCGTCCTCTGTGCCAGGGCTGGGCTCGAAGGAAGTAGTCAAAGGAACGGGGCAACCATCTGGAGGTTTGACTGAGATTTTTTAAGTCAGCTGGCCAGAAAAGTCAAGTCTGAGTTTTACTTTGCTTTGTTTTTCTTTCTCCTTACCTCCAGTCTTTCAAAGCAAAGCAAAAAAAAAAAAACTTTGAACCTGGAGCAGAGTTTAATACTGTACAGCAGCCAGCTTCGCCTGACATTTTTGAGCACTCGCTATGAGCCACAAGCAAGGTTAAACACCTCACATGCATCATGTCATTCAGTCGTTCCAACAACTCCATAAAGTAGTCCTTTTACTTTATTTCCCCATTTTACAGGTGAGAAAACCTACTCCCAGAGGCTAAGAAGCTTTGCCCAAGGCCACAGAAATAAGAAGCAGAGCCAGGATTCAAGCCTCGACTTGTTTCAACTCAGAGCTCATGCATGGTGGCCAACAGTATCAGATTATTTGGTGTTAGAATTTTCCTTAAGGGAGATAACTTACGAGCCAGTAGCAAGTGTCCCCCAAACTTCATGGCCATCAGCAGCGAGTTCAAAAGATTTACTTCTCTAGAAAGAGTTAGCAACCTGGACAAGTTGGAAGGCCATGCCATCAGCCTCTCATTTCTCATTTTTCAAGTACATGCTCAAGTTTGGGGCAAGGGAGAGAATGTGGGAATGAAATCGTCCACCAAAGTACACACAGATATATAAAGAAAAACGTCTGAAACATAAACGTCCTTTCCTTCTCATTGCTTCTCCAGATTCTGATTGGAGCCGTCATTGCCATGGGCTCTGCCGACAGAGATGGCCGCCTACACCCAGGAGACGAGCTCGTCTACGTGGACGGGATCCCAGTTGCTGGCAAGACCCACCGCTATGTCATCGACCTTATGCACCACGCGGCCCGGAATGGGCAGGTCAACCTCACTGTGAGAAGAAAGGTGCTATGTGGAGGTATGTCACTCGAGCGGCTGTGAGATTTGGGGGTGAGGTGGTGAGATGCTTTTCTGAGACATGGTAAGGACACTTGACACAAAATTTTAAATCGGTTCCTGTATTACATGAGGGAGAAAACCCAACCTCGATATTCCAAATGGAACTCTGACTTTGAAAGTGCAGATTTTCGCCTCACTGGTCCAATTCCAGGCAGGCTTTGAGCCTACATTTTCAGTGTAGTCATTAAAAATTTCTAGCAAGGCCTGGGGCTAATGTAAGATATGTCTGCTCTTTGCTCTTGGGTAGATGCTAGTTATCAGAAGAACACTATAGTAGTGGAAAACATGGCTCTTGAAAATGTTCCTCATCGTGTTTAAAACCAAGAACTGCAGAATTTTGATACCGTAGTAAGGCAACTAGGATGGAAAATTAGCTTTTATTGTAGGGCCTGATAAAAGGTAACAATAAAACTATTGCCCTGATTTGGAAAAATACAGCTGTACATCATTCTGAGAAAACAAAACTCATATAACTCCTGACTTATGAAATACATAAATTAGAAGTAATTATTCCCTTTACAGCCATTTTCCCAGCTTCGTAAAAGAACCCACCAAAGACGTACTTATAGGAGTCAGCCCTCATGGTCATAATATGACTCAATTTCTCTCTCTTCACCGTCTCAACCCCCCGAAAGAGATTTATAACTTTAGGGAATATGTCTGTTACAAGCATCGCATCATTCTTTATAATCTGAGCCCTCAGTAGCATTGAGAATATAGTCCCAGACTGCCTGCTCCTTACCCTGTGAATCACAGGGACGCCCAGCAGCCTGCTGGCCTCTCTGCTCAGCCCCTCACTGCTCCTCCTACAGAACGATCAATGCTCGAGTTGGGAGGGACCTTAGTGACTCCAGCTTTGCCATGTTACAGATGAGGAAACTGAGGCCCAGAGGTTCGGTAGCTTGCCCAGAAGTCTGCAGGGAGTCAGTGACAATGCAAAGACCCTTATCTCCCCGGCCAGGGCTTATTTTTTATGCCACTTTAAGTGCCTCTCCCCATTCTACCACCATCCCCACTCCCCGTGAATTCAAAGATGTTAGACCAACCTTTAGCAAATGTTGCTCCCTAACGTATGTGCTATTTCTATAACTCATTTGAATCAAAAAAAGGGCCACCAGCTAATCAGAGGCTGTGGGTGACTACAGAGGATAAGGTCTATTAGTCAAACAGAAAATCCTTTTTTGTTTGAGTCTTCTGGAAACTAGACTTTGAGCAAGGGCAATCACTTAAAAGGGCAAGTCAGAAGAATTGTCAGCCCTCACCGGTAGAGACTGCTATATATCTTGTATCATTTTTTAGGTTTTGCTAAAAGGTTTCATTCGTCTTCAGCAATTCATGGCACATCACTTGACCCAAGAAGTAAAACACCTTGAATTATGCCTTCTCCTTGGGCGAGATGCCAGGAGGAAGACAGCGTTCGCTTGGTGCTTGGTGAACATTTAACTGTCTCTCTCCCTGCAGAGTGATTTTTAATAAAAAAGTTTGTTGTGCTATATGTTCTGTAACCCAAAGATAAATTAGAAAGATACCTAATTTACAAAGAAATACGTTGCAAAGTGCAAAACCAATGCACCGACATAATTTCATGCTCCCCTTGCCACCGGCCGATTATTGCAAATTAAATTTTGTTCTAATCAACCCAAGCTATTGGAGTGTGTGCCAAATGCTGCAAAAACGTATCCTTGCAATTTGTGGATCTTGTGACTTCTGTGAAGATGCTCTGTGCTGCAGTTCTGACCAACTTTTACTCAGTTGGGCTTTTAAGCGCATTTAATTTTTGAAAATGTTCTGCTGCAGACTTCTCATTCACACTAGGAGAGCTTCCAAGTTAATTCAGCCCACTCTTCCTTGAAAGCTTTCTCAGTATTGAAAATGATTAAGTTCAGCAAAGGATACTTTGGTAATAAAGTAAATCCCTCGAAATAGGATAGAACAAATTTTTAAAAAGACATAGAAAGACAGCCTTTCTCCATAGCTGCCATTTCTCCAGCAGGGAGAAGGGACAGCTACTAATGGATGTGACAGTGAAGATGCCTTCTGCAGGGTTGTTGCTTTCATTATTATCATCCTTTCCTAAGCAAGGCAGTGGGAGGTGCAAGCCTGGCTTGTGATAAGATAGTTCAAAGCTGAAAGGAAGCAAACAATCAGCTTGTGAAGAGACAGATGAGCAAGAAGAAGGATGGTATTGCCACCTTCTTGCACAAGGAGCAATAATATGGAGCAAAAGCTGGGAAGAAGGGAGGTTAGAGAGATTACCCCCTTCAGCCTTGCGCTTGCCTCGGCTCATACAAATGCCGTGCCACGTCTCAGAAGACACTGGGCCCTGGCTTCCTAGTTGAGGCTCAAGAAAAAAATAAATCCATTAGGAGAGATACAGACTGATGAGTTACATTGGGCAAAAATGAGAATAACACAAACACCTGCTCCAGGTATTAAAATATTAAAAAGTGTACACACGAAAGATAGAAAGGCAGAATTTTCAATTAGGCGGCGGTAAACTGATCCTCAAAAATGAGAAATTGTGGAGCAAAGGAAGAAAAGGTCCAGTAACGCACCCAGCTTTATTTACCAGATTATTTTAGCGCAAATCTTGCTCCTTAAACTAGTTTTGAGAGATGTCTTATCGAGGGCGCCAATGTTGAGGGTTTATTTCCCAAGGACAGTGGAAGAGTGGCTTTAATTATTACACTGAAAGTATAAATATTTATCTATTTAGTAGCTCGGCTTTGAGTCGTTCAACCTAAGGACACGTTATTTTGAATACACGCTGTTCATCTAAGAGAAGGGTGTCTCTGAGGAATTTCCTAAAGCATAAATCTAGAACCAAAGTGAAAGAAAGTTTTAGAACTTAATCCAAACACGTTAGAGATCATCTTAAAGCTCTCGGCATCTTCTCTCTAACACCTAAGGGAGAGTGATTCTGGCCTAATGCCGAGAAAAGGAAGGTCTTTGTGGCAGCTGCGTAAACAATTTAGCCATTGTGTAGGCTGATGGCAGATTCCCTGGTCCTGGTCGCTACACTCTTTGTCAATTCTAAACAAATTCCCTTATTCTTTGTCTACAAGCATGTCACCTATTTAAATAAGTCATCTGTCTTGATGAGTATAAACCAGGAGTGCACAAGCTCACATGTCTGCAGGCAGGCCAGCCCCTAACGTCAGCAGGGCCTCAGCCTTGGGCTGCCCTGCTCCATCAGGCATGTCAGGCTCTGTCCACACGCGTACCCCCGTGTCTCAGCCATGCCCATCTGCAGTGCTGTCCTCCTCCTGGGGGACAGTCCTGAGAGGTGGCCCAGGCACACTCTGGAAGCAGGCAAGTTCTGTTGGGTTCCAGAACCCTAGAGTCCTGATACCCAGTATATGATCTAGAAGGAAAACAGGGGCTCTGTTGATCAAGCGCTTTTTCGTACTCCTCACTCTAGGGGTAAATGAGCAAATTGGGAATTTGCAAGAGCGCTGAGGAGAGGTTGGGATTGTGGTGACTCGCAACCCACATGCTGCCCAGTCACGGGGGCAGCCATTGGCCAGCGCTGGCTGGTTATTAGCAAATATTTCAAGAGAAACTGGAGATCCGCATTTCCGTAAAGTCTCCCTGTTTAAAAACATTGGCAATTAATTTCAATAATTATTAAACAAAGTATAGGTCCATACTGGGCGGGAATAATAAACGGGTCTGCAGGCCAGGAGCAGCCCCTGGCCGATAGTTGACTGTTCTAGGTGAAACCATCTCACCCGGAAGGCATTATCGATGACTCCTGCCTTCCCAAATGGGGACCCTCTCCCAGGCAGCAGAGGGTTCATTTCCACTATCTTACCCTAAAAATTAATTATTTGACGTGAGTAGATACAAAGTGACTGAATTCTGCACATCCATTTGCATGGGAGCCAGAAGGGTGAGTCAGGGATGCTGGAAGTTAGTGAATTAAAAAAAAAATTACACATGGTATTTAGTCACTTTATAACATTTTACCCTATTTTTCTAAAACAACACTGTTTGCGCCCTGTACCAGGAGGGGTTGTAGACAGCAGACAGTCTCTCTGGACCTAGAGCCAGCCGAGGAGGAAAACAATGTGGAGTCCATTCTACCCCTCAAAGTCTGTCACGGGAAGTCATCCTAACTCCCTGACTTTAGATGTGCTCATGTTGTCAACGATGAAGAACTTTGTTCTGGAGGTTGAAAGAGAAGTCCAAACGCAGCAGAAAAGTATCTGCTAATGTATTTGACTCTCTCACTGACCCAGGGACCACTCTCGGTGACTTAGTCCACGATTTTCTTTCTCCCTCCAGAACCTGGAGCACAGCCACTCCCAGCCATTTACCGGAAAGACAGATAATTTTGCTTTGTTGCCGCTTTACTGACAACCACAGCTCTCAACCCCCTAAAGTATGACAGCCAGAAAATGAGATCTCTCTTGTCACTGCCTATGACATTTAGTTAGTGATTTGGTCCAATAACTCCGAGAGATTTTCAATTTAATGTTGCAGCGTAATTGTTTGTTTTTCTTCCTCCTATCTCTAATCATTTTATTTCCGACTTACACAAGGACTGATGAAGGACGTGTACGTCACCAAGACAATAACGGCTTGTCTGTGGATGATATTCTCCGGCAGGGCGGGTGTATTTTACGGGCTGTCTTACGTTCTGGTTGAAAAGAAGGAAAGGCTTTGACGTTGACGTCTGATTCTTTTATGACCTGAGTACATTTCTTACAGGTGAAAAGCCTCCATTTGTTTTCTTTTAGTAAAAGTTGATTAATTGAATCTGAAAGAAAACTTCAAATTTCTCAAATGATAACAAGCAGCAGCCTGGGTCTTATTCATTCTGTAATTACAAACAAGGAATGAATACATTTTTGTAAGGCCATCCTTGAATCTGTGTATGTGAGTAAATGCAGCTCCGTTTTCTTTAGGTCTCAGTATAACAAAACATCTCTTGTAGTCCGTGTTCTTTCTTCCTGATCTTTGAAATGAAAAGATTTTTGGAATGAAATGATTTTTCATTGCAGAATGGAATTGCAGTTTATAAAGTTAAGAGCCCTCGTTGGAACTTTTGCTAATTATTTTTAACTTGCCACATGAGACCTCTTCCAGAGCTCTAAATAGGAGACCATATCTAGTCACACGAAAGGGAATCATTAATTGTGATTATTTTCCATCTTATTATTTCTCTGTTCCATAAACATCTTTTGAGTACACTCTTCAAATTGCAAGATGGGGATGAAACAGCCCTATTTCTAATTTCAGTATTGTAGGTGCCCACGTCAGTTCCTTGAATCAGAATACCAAAACCTGAGGATTAAATTAAAATCACAAAATTCTTTCTGGTTGACAGATCAACTTTCATTTTAAAAACCAGCTTCTCTTGGCTGCCAACTTTCTATCATTTCTCCCTGTAAACACACTTGCTTTCTCCTGGAACTATTAGTCTGGTTGTCTGGTTGATAATAGAGTACATTTGGTAATAATACAGAATGTAAATGAGCAAGGCTGCCATCACCTCCCTTAGCGATTCAAAATCCATCCTTCCTTAGCCTGATATCCTTGCTAGACTGAATCTCAGAGTGAGCAGACTACTTTAAGAAGTGTGTGTCCCACCTACAAGAAGTAAATTAACACTTGTGGGATAACAGAATATCACAAAATTAAATAAAACCATGGCTCTTCAGTGAAATCATGATAGGTCACTTTACGTGGACTTGCCCTGGCTCTTAGCCCCACTTACAATACCTCTACAACAACATTTCTCAAAGTGCAGCCTGAAACCTCGTCCAGATTCCTGTGCCCAATCTTCCTTAGATCTACTGAGACAACTTTCCATGGGTGGCCCCTGAAGATGCATACTTTTTTACAAGTTGTTTAAGTAATACTTACACGCAGTACAGTTTAAGATTCTGTCCACTTGTTTCGTGATCTTCTTCCATCCATGATTACTATGCAACTAAGAAGCTCGATATCTAATACTAGGCATTGTCCTGGGGTTTACAGTCTTAACAAGAGGAAGATATAAACGAGCAGCAGCACAGAGGAAGCTGATGAGAGGTTTTGCCTGTGTTTGCTGTGAGGGGTAGAATGGGGCCAAGATGTCGGGGGCTCCGTAGCAAGGTTTGTAGGACTTCAACTGCTCTGCACATCTCGGGGGAATGGACGCCAGTCAATCAGCCTTGTAACGAGGCCAGGGTCTAGAACAGTGCCCGGTACACAGGAGGCACTCCTCAAGACCCTTGTTAGATAACCGAGTGCCTTGTATGATGTATATTCCAGGGGAGCCCTGCCCAGAGGACGGGAGGAGTCCAGGCTCCGTGTCAACCCACCACAGCTCTCCACGGAGTGACTACGCAACCTATGCCAACAGCAACCACGCCGCCCCCAGTAGCAACGCCTCTCCTCCTGAAGGCTTCGCCTCCCACAGCCTGCAGACCAGCGATGTGGTCATTCACCGCAAAGAGAACGAAGGCTTTGGCTTTGTCATCATCAGCTCCCTGAACAGGCCTGAGTCTGGATCCACTATCAGTAAGTGACTTCTCCACCTGCCTTTGAATAAGACGTCTTGTTTTCATTTGTTCTGGTGGTGGGGATACTGGGCAAGCAGATCAGAGGACTATTGTAGACGTACTGTGGAGCCTCAAAGTTGCAGGCTATGGCATGAATAAGGCATCCTTAACACTGGTTGGCCAAAGGTTGTTGACCTTTGGCTCCGGAAAAATGCAAGGCTACAATGAATGCCCCCCAACCCCATAACTCCCATAAAAGCTCTTCATTCACTTTAAACTGGGAAGAGGGAAAAACAGAGTGATGTGGGAGTGTTGACGTGAGGGGAGGGTCACTCCTGTTCAATAGAATGAAGCGAGACATGCAAAGGGTCTGGGGAAAAGCAGTCCAGGCAGAAGCCTTAAGACAGGAGGGAGCTGAGCATTCGGGAAATATACAGAAGCCCCATATGGCTGTGGCGTAGTGAGCGAGGGAGAGCAGTGTGAGACCAAGACGTAGGACTGGGCTCGAGCTGGGCACACAGGGCATCACAGGCTGTTGGGAAGAAGTGTGGTTGGTGGTCTAAGTCCATGGAAACCGCTAGAGGGTTTTAAGCAGTGGATGGAAATCTGACTTACTTCTTTAAAAGATGAGTCCAGCTGCTTGTAGGAAACGAAATCAGCAAGAAGAGGGCCAGAATGAAAGCATGAGGCAGGGGAGGCCATTAGAACAGCCGTGTGGGTGCAGAGATCCCATGCCTTCCACTAGGGTAGTCATGGTGGGTTGGGGGAGAAGTAGATGACTTCCACTTCCACCTTCCTCCAAATCTAAGTTCTCTGAGTCTGTACAACAGGTGATCTCAGAGGTCGTGTTTCTCTTCCAATTGGTCCTCTTTGTAGATTCTCAGGCTTCTTTATTGGTTTTCCTTTCAGCAACACTATTCCAGAAGTCACTCAGCAGCCAGCAAGCAGTGAGACAGAAGAGACAATAGAAAACTTTTCATTTTTCATGTTGAAGTGATTTAGCCCAAAAGGTTGTAGATAGAAACACCAGAATAGAGAGCATTAAGAGAAAAAATAATCGACTCATGTTGTGGTCCTAAAATTCTTATAAATTATGGTTGTTTCCAGCACACAGGAGGGGAATGTCAAACATTACTCAAGAGATCAAATGATTGGGGCCGGCCCTGTGGTGTAATGGTTAAGTTCCATGCACTCCGCTTCGGTGGCCCAGATTTGCAGGTTCAGATCCCAGGCATGGACCTATACCACTCATCAGCCATGCTGTGGTGGTTTCCCACATACGAAATAGAGGAAGACTGGCACAGATGTTAGCTCAGGGCTAATCTTCCTCAAGCAAAAAAAGAGGAAGACTGGCAACAGATAGCTAGCTCAGGGCTAATCTTCCTCAAGCAAAAAAAAGAAAGAAATCAAATGATTGAGAATGAATAAGAAGTTTATGATAAACTTAATGTTATCAAAACACGACCAATGGAGAGAATTGCCCTACTTAGCCTTACCTTTGACAGATTCCAGAATGAAAACTGTGGAAGCATTAGACCTTGGTGAATATGTGCAGAAGCTAAATTACATACATCTGAAAGTACGGTTTGTCTTCATGATAAGCTGAAGAAATAAATCCAATCTTTAAGCATGAAGTAAAAGCAGGATTCTGTCAGTACAATGGATTCACCAAGATTAAAGGACACAAGACTGAAGATTTTCATGAATTATATAAACAGCCTTCCAATAATTTACACGTGGAGAGAATGTTCGTAGACAGTTTTTGTAGCTATTCCAGTCATTCAAATTGTTTATTGGGGCAGGATACCTAAAGGACTGGAATAAAAATGACAGGTATACTACCACAATGAAAGTGTTAAGGATGTATTTAGGGTCTCAGCTTTATTTGAAGTGTGACAGCATTATTGCTAAATGTATAGGAGAACGTGTGTGTGTGTATACACACATGGGTGTACGCGCATGCACTTCCTACATAAGAAAACCACAAATGCTTTTCCTATTTTTTGCAAATAAAATCCATGTATAGGTATATTTGGAAAACAGCAGGTACAAATGCTTACAATTAACATATGAATCTTTCTTCCTACCAAGAGACATTAGACTGACTTCAAAAGAGTAATTTTACCATTTTCCAAATGGTATTACCGTGGTTCCCCCTTATCTGTGGTTTCTTTTCCATGGTCCCATGGTCACACAAATGTTAAGTGGAAAATTCCTGAAATAGACACTTCGTAAGTTTTAAATTGTGCACCATTCTGATGGACATGATGAAATCTCTTGCTGACCAGCCCAGAACGTGAATTACCCCTCTGTCCAACGTATCCACCAAGGATATGCTACCTGCCCACCCTTTAGTCACTTAGCAACCTCCTCAGTTATCAGATCCACTGTCATGGTGGATCAAGTCACCCTTATTTTCCTGAATAATGGCCCCAAAGTGCAAGTGTAGTGACTCTGGCATTTTAGATACGCCAGAGAGAAGCCGTAAAGTGCTTCCTTTAGGTGAAAAGGTGAAAGTTCTCAATAAGGAAAGAAAAAAAATCATATGCTGAGGTTGCTAAGATCTACGGTAAGAATGAATCTTCCATCCATGAAATTGTGAAGAAGAAAAAAGAAATCTGTGTTAGTTTTGCTGTCGCACCTCAAACTGCAAAAGTTACAGCCTCAGTGCATGATAAGTGCTTAGTCTAGGAAAAAACATGGTATATATGGGGTTCGGAACTATCTGTGGTTTCAGGCATCCACTGAGGGTCTTAAAAAGTATCACCCAAGGATAAAAGGGACTACTGTATTTTACATCACCCTAGAGAATGGAAATACATTCTAGAGTTCATGTTTCCTGATTTCTTTTCTCACATATTCATTTCTTTTCAGTTTAGGAGTTTGAAACGCAGGTTGCCCCCATGTTCTGTGGGAAGAGCAGCTCTCCCACCAATGGCACATAGCGTTTATAGTACATAATTTGCAGCATACATCTAAAAGTTTTCCAGACCTGAGGCTGTTTCATGCTTAACCTCTGTAATAACTATGAGCTCTAGTTTTGAAGAGAAATGCTAAGTGCCTCATGAATGATGAAGGGCCATCCTTGTGCCAGGTCTCCATTGTCAGAATAGCAAGGGATCTTGGGCTCTGTGAGACCAGGAGATATCTCAGGTGCTCCAGAGTCGCAGTCGTTCCCGGGGCTTGTGTCATTTCCTCTTCATGTCTTACCTGAGCCCCACGATCTTGAACACATTCTTGGGTTTCTCCTGGCTGCTGAAGCCTTCTCGTGGCAGACAGAGAGCTGTGGCGTCTCTGGCAGGGGCACCATCACCTTTAGGCCAGGGAGCCGTGTGGTCCACAGTCCAGGTGCAGCAAGCACACTCCCTGGATTTCAAACCTGGCTGCATCATTTACCAGCTGTGTGACCTTGAGGAGTGACATGACCTCTTTTGGCTTCAGTTTCTTTGGTTGTAAAGGGGAGATACTTTTAATACCTATGTGGTTGAGTTGTTATGAGAGTTAAACAAATTAAAACAGTACTGGCTCAGGGTAAGCATTATATGTGTCCTTGTTGCTGTCTCGACCTCCATCCCCACTAGGAATTCCATCAGCTCCCTCTTCTCAGAAAGTGCAGAGTTCACGCTGGCTATCAGTTCAGTCAGCCATTCGTCAGAGCCCCCCAGTTGCCCAGAGCAGCTAAATCTGGGTGGCAAATGAGCATCTCTGATGGCCAGCTCCCCCTTCCCACAGGCTGACCTTCCAGGAGCCCCGTCTTCCCACCACCCACCCCCTGCAGCCTGGTCAGCGATGGGGCCTAGAGCAGTGGCCGCCACACCAGTCCAGCTGAGTGTGCTTTCCCTGAGGCTTCAGGCTGGACGTCTCCTCGGCACTCACCAGCCAATAAACTAGAAAAGTCATGGAAAACACCAAAATTCAGGCTCGGGGCTGTGTCTTTTAGAATCTCCCTGCAAACATTATGTCTCTAATTGAATATATCAGAAAAGAGAGGAGAGGTGGAAAGCCCAAATGTCAACCTCTCCACGCTGCAGATAGAGAGAGAACGACCTTCCACAGCTTCCCCAGCCCAGGCAGCAGCCTTGCCAGGAATGCCAGATGTTCAACCAATTGAAAACTTGGAGGGTGAGTTTCCTGGCCTATTATTGCCTGGCATTCAGTAGAGCTGTTTACCAAAACCTCACGTATTTTTTTCAAAATATTGTTTCTCCCAAAAATAAAGAAAAAAAAATTTTTATGTCAATGGTATAACTAAAGAGGATACTGCTTCCTCCCAAAGCCAGTGACTGACGAGGCCAACTATTGCTTAGGAGGAAACAAGATTCCTAGAAACCTTCTATCGGAGGTGCAGGAATATCCTTCTTGAAGTGAGAAAGGCAAGATTCCTGAGCATTTTTGTCCCATTATCCAAAATATTAAGTATTTTTTTCAGACTGTAAAATTGGACCTAAGGGAAGACAAAGTGGTTTCCAGACTGGAGCCTAGGATAAGAGTGCACTGTCACAGGCAATTGCATCTAAAATCCTTAAAAAGATTCGAACAAAGATTTATATACAAAGATGTTCATTGCCATCTTATCGATAAACACAGAAAGTTGGAAGTAATGTTAGAAGCTTCTCCAAAACTGGAAACTTTGGTATCTTTGGGAAGTTCGAGGCATTTGCTGCCATTGAGTAGCTGAGTCTGTGTACACAGGATAAAGGAGACTCAGGGTGGATCCACTGCTTGCTCTGTAGAAATGTCCCAGTGACCATGTGCGGTGGGGTTGTGAGGTTGGTCTTTGGGCCACTCCAGCTCGAAGTCTGATTCTCGACTTCCGGGTTTTCCTGCAGACCTGTAACCTGCCCTTCCTGCTCGTTACCCCCAAATCTGCTTCTGCTCCAGAGGTCCCCAAGAAGGGTTTTGGCACAAGTAATGAAATCAAAGTGACCTTTAGTCTCCTGTGTTTCTACAGTTTGTGAGGAAGCTTATGTTGGAATGTATGGGGTAGACGTACCTGGGCAGCTTGGACATCAGTGGTGG